CGTGATGCTCGCTCTTTTAAATGTGTTCTGTGATAACAGAAGTTTGTCTTATTCTTAGAACTGAGCTTCTACCAAAAATACAAATCAAATTAAGCCTGACAGAGAGATAATTGAGAAATATTTGGTTTAAAAGATCAAGATGAAGAGTTTTCTCATCACGTCGTCAGTACAAAGTTATTACATACACTGTCATCACCGCTCTCAGTTCCTACACGGGTTTTCATGTGTTTTTTTTTACCTTACCGAAATAAAACTTTATTTTCATTATATCCAACAGAACAACTTCATGGTAAAATTAATATAGGTACATTGCTTGTAAGAGTCTAAGTCTTTAAGTAGTTTATCTATTTTCACTGTATCCCTACTAATATTAGTATAAATGCGAAAGTAACTCTGTCTGTCTCTTAAGCTTTCACGGCTAAACCGCTGAACTGATTTTAATGAAATTTGGTACGGAGATAGAGTTGACCTCGAGATAGAACATATAAAAGTTTTTATTCCAGACTTTTTAAAGATTCTCTTGGAAACGCGATATAACCGAATTCGACGCGGACGAAGCCGTGGGCGAAAAGCTAGTGTAACAATAAATGAATAAACGGTTTAACAGAAGAATTAAAGTTTTGGGGATTTCGAAATATTTTCATTTGAATCTTTTATGTCGCTTTCCGTAATAACTTGTTTTATCAACGTATTTTTTTTCTTAATACTAAGAGTTATTTGTAATATTTATTGTTATTCTTTATGTCTATCTTTATCTTTCCTCTCACTCAAGCTGCTGTGTTCGTGTCGACTATAGTATCAGAGAGTTCGGAACATTGATAACAGTATATATGTAGTAAGGAGCACAAGAACATACAATTCATTTCACCCTCTTACTTTCCGTGTTTAATTTATCTTTTTTATTATATGAACATAATCATTTATATTATTAATGACTAGTGTTCATTTTAATTAAATGTATATTTTTAAGTAAGTATGTAAATTTTTAATAAATCCAGTGAACAGTTTTGTCAACATCTCCGTTCAGTGCGACGTGTTGTTGTCGTGTCAATGACCTCGTTGTTTATATTCTCTCACTACTCACGGCTCTAACACTACACACTACTCCTTATACTACATTTCACCAAACATATGAATGTTTTATATATATTTTTTCGTACTCCTCGTAGTGTATACAGTGTGGTCGTTGAATGAGTCTTGTAATTGGTAGGTCGTAGCTAGAACAGACAACGTGTTGTCTGTAGAGCCGTCTCCGAGTGTCTCGGACCGACCGACACTACAATGTCCTCGTCTCCTGCAGGTACTATCTACTCGTTTGTAAAGAAAGGAAGTCTTTTCAGAGAACAGCCTCTTTTATTCGCAGGATTAAACGAAACGCGACGACTCGAGTGCCTTCGTTAGTCGCCGGTCTATCATTGTAATAGTGACTCGTCTGGGAGGCACAGGTCTGGACTTGTTTAGTTTAGGAATAATGTTTTTTGAGATACAGTTTCATACATACTCACGTTTTAATATACTCTAGTATATCTGCAGCCTGTCCGCTCTTGTAACGCTCTAATCTCTGTCCTATAAACGTGAACTGGTATTTCAAGTAAAATTTAAGTGTTGTTTGTTTGAAAACTTTATTAAACGAGTCCATGGTACCACGTCACCATGTTCATGTAATACAATTCATAAATACTTAGTGTGCGTTAACAATATCTAATACCTTCATATTTATTGATTCGCTTTAAAACATTTAGTATTATTTGAGTCTGGGTTTAAATCACTCATTAATCTCTGGGAGGTCGTAATTAGTCCTCTCCCTTGAGGCCGAATACTCACTCCGTGTAATCCTTATTATGTACCTTCTTTATGTAAAACACGATCTCACATAAATTACGATATTGAAAAGCAATAATGGAAAAAAAGAGAAATATTCAATATTAATTATCGATGGAAGTAGGACTCTAGTGTACAGTGAGAATGTGCATTATGAATCCCTACTAATATTATAAATGCGAAAGTAATTCTGTCTGTCTGTCTGTTACGCTTTCACGCCTAAACCACTGAACTCATTTTCATGAAATTTGGTACAGCGATTGAGTTGAACTTGGGAAAGAACATAGGATAGTTTTTATGCCAGACTTTTGAAAGGTTCTTTTGGAAACGCGATATAACCGAACTAAACGCGGGCGGAAAGCTAGTGTATTATAATACACTTATTGAGCAGCTTTTACTTGTGTTAGAATAGAAAAAAACGAAACAGAGAATCAATCAGAGACGGTGAAAATAGCGGAGGAAGCTTGTCTTCCCTTCAACATTTAAATGGACACATGTCTTAAATTTAATGATTAACCTAAATATACGAAAGAATGATCCTTACAATCATATCATTGGTTAGTCATAAGTATTAATGTAGGTGGAACTTGCAACTTGTACAAGCAGTAGAAGCTCGCTACAGTCTCAGTCGCTCTATATTTAGTACCGTTCTATGTCTGGTGTTAATGTTTGTATCTGTATGTCTGTCTGTGTCGGTCCCGAACTGTTCTCGTGTTATTCAATACAAAGTGTATTCTCTTATAACCGGCTCGCCGTATTGTCGACGCGCGGTCGAAGCTTTCCTCGCGAACCTCAATGAATTATTGAATGCTAGTTTTATTCCTAGTACAGATATTCCACAACCCGACGCGTCTTATCAACGCACCGGTCGTCTGCATCGTGTTAATTCATATTAGGACGTATCAAAGTAAGAGTTTTTAAATGTAACTTAACGATGTACGTCACGAGTGACCCTTTTCTTATAGTAAAACAATGTTTAATTATGAAAGTATTTAATTTGATACTCCATATTTTTGATTTTTTCGTCCATATTTTATGTACATATTTTAAATTTTTTAATACATATTTATCCGGGCCCTACTCATGATTGTCACGACTGACACGTCTTTTAAACTGTTTGATAACAAATATAAGGCGATGATAAAGAAATGTGTTGAGGCTGTTGTGTCGTATGTATGAAACGATACGCGATGTAAAATACATTCATAAAAAATATATACAAATAGTACTGGTTTCAACAGAAGGTTTACTTTTATGTATTTACTGAGGAAATGAAATTAATATGTCTCAAGAGGAGACCGTGAGGCGGACATGTCGGCTAGCTAGTGCCAAAATAAAAGAAAAGTAAACTTGTCAATATCACAAGCGGTGAAAGATTCTGTTATATATTGTTGTAATGTATAAAACGTCGCCTTGTACTGACTCTCCTCTCGCGTGTCTATAGTGATGACGTCATCACCCCAGCCTCACTGACCCTCACCCACTACTCGCCGGCACTCGTTCACATCCGACTCTGACGTATACATTGATAGGTACTCGTAGAACGAAGACGTTACATTACGATAAGTAAGAGATACATAGATATAATAAGCTAGAGGTACGCTGGCTGGTGACACTCGCGTCTCTCTCTTCGCATCGTGTAATAGTTTCTGTATGTGCTACACGTTCTGAATGTTTATCGGTAGTAGGTACATTGAGATGAGTCACTGAGCGACACCTTGTCAGGGTTATCAGAGGGGAGCGCACGGAACGAGACTCAGGTATGCGACAAACATCCCGCGCACACGCACACACTCACACATGGACACACACACACACACACACACACACCACACACAGATCCCGGTCCCCCGCATGTAGTCTCGGGGTGCGGCCGGCGCCATGTTGTGCTACTCACAAGTCACACTGCTCTGCTTTCGTTGCAGCCTTTCAAAACACTAGCGTACTGTTCGTTTCCATTACTGTTACCAGCGACTCCAAAGTTTTGTAATCATTTCATATTACTTCTGTAACGAAAGTCACTCGCGGCTTTGAAAAAAAATAATCCAGAATTCGTAACTTGTGTATTCATGAAGTGGGAATCAGTACGACCGTCCATTATAAGACTTTCTCTCAGTAATACCTACCGGGGCACTGCCTTTAAAATAAATAGCTTCTTACTTAAAAAGAGATGTACGTACTTTTCATTATATTATACGAATTTGTTGAAGTAACTGTTGTTAACAATATAACAAAAATGCTTTAGAGGCGTGACTCAGTGGACGGTAAATAATATATTTTATTTAAAACGCTGATTCTCTAGAAACCTTCACGCTTCATAATAATTCTCTTTGAAGCAAGTATTACCGGCCATCTTTTTATCGTTTTGTTTTCGGTCATATTGTCTTTAGTAGAATTTCTTTCCTTTCTTGGAATTCCATCGACCGTTGTGTCGGTGTCGGCAAAACATTTGAAACATCTTTTTTTTTATTAAAAATGTATTTTTAATACTACTCTAGATGTTTACAAATAATTCGGCTTCAAGAGGTTCATACATTGGTAAATTACAACTACAAATAGTTCTCATGCTTAGTTTTGTTTATTTCTTGGACTGATTCATTTTCTCTAGTTCATAAATCAATTCCCATCGTCCTTGTAGTACTTTGAACTGTCTCTGTGTGATCTGATCCTAGTAGTTCAGTTAAAGGAATCGCTCTTATATAACACGGCTCCAAACTAAAATGTTGTTTAGATTTGAAGTTTGTTGTTGTTATATTAGAATTTGAGGGTCAGGTGTGAAGGATCAAGGATTTCAATCTTATATAAGAACAGCGACAATGACTTAACAAAGGAGCTATGAGATACCTGGGATTGGTGACTTGAATTTAATAAAATAAATATTCTTTTCGAAGAGGAAGAGAATTAAAGTTGACTTCATGAGGACAGAGTAACAGATGGAAGGAGAAGAGACTGACCAGACATAGTGAACAATGAGAACTACATGAGGGTTTGTTGTAAGACAAACTATGTATAAATAAAATGATACATTTTACGAATAAGCCAAGGATAAGAGATATTGAGTCACTGATGCTATCGAGTTTGATTTTTGTACTTTTAAGTAAATAAGATTATTTCATGTAAAAAAAGCCTGAAGGGGAAATATTGTGGAAAAGCTTATTTATTACCTCGAAAGTGATAAGATGCCAGAGATATCCGGGTTCTGTAGGAGCAGCGTGGGGGTCAGCATGAGACTATACAGAATACATAGAATAAGATATATAGAATAATTAAATATTGGTAACAAAAACTGAGTCACATTTCAAGGGCACGTCACATAAGTCGTGTGTGTGAAACCCTCAAAATGTATTTACCGTTCCCTGGACGTCACGTCGTTTAACTTGTGTCTCTATAAAGGGCTCATTTTTTCCGAGCGTATTATTTCCGTACCACTGGAGGGTCGCACTCCTAAGTCTGCTCCGTGCCAGCCCCCCCCCCTCTCCTCCCCGACACATTCCTGACCACTTGTTCAATAATATCCTGCGACTCGACTCACTGACTTCAAACAGAACACTCACAGATATTTATAAGACTTCCATATCACTATACATACATATGTCGTGTGGACCCAACGGCCGGTCAACAATGATAACACATACTACGATGTAAGTGACAAGTTCATCGGTCCACATATACTGACTTCTTGACAGGTCTCTCTAGGAGTGTGAGGAAGACGGGCCGGCTGTCGTTACATTAGCTTAATTAAGAGTCAGATAAAAAACCTTTACACGAGAGTAAATCACAAGTAGTTTTTAGTTTTGTTTCATCAAAAAAATTAATGGATTCTTATCAGCAAAAACGTTGAAATTACTTTTAGAATAAATGATACCTATACATAAATGAACAGAGACGATTTAATTTCTTCTATGTTATTGAAGGAGCACTGAGCTACGAGTATATTTCATTAAATTTATACATTGACCAGAGTTCACGTGTTACGATATCCAGGTTAAACAGAAAATGATACATAGTAACGACGGCTAACGAGATATTAAATAAAATAACTTTAGTTCACAGACACACGGGTAGTACCACGACGACAAGGAGAGCCAGATCATTACGATGACGACATGTAGAGGGCATTTAACATTACGAAGAACGAAACACGCGTTAACAACTATCCTAACACCTACAAGAACATAACATATTACTACATAACATTAAGTTTTCTTTTAAAATTCAAGTCATATAAAGTGTAAAGTTCAAGAGTTTTATGAAGGGTGTCAGTCTCAGACTGGACCGGGTGATGGCGATTTAGTTCTCAAAATATGTATGGGCCATGATATTCATAGCTTATGTAAAGCGTTTAATATATCTTTTGTAATTGTGTCTTGTGTTTGGAGATTTTTCTGTATTGAAATATATAAAACATAAAAAGACAAACATAAACTGCACATACAATTATAAACCCTAAATCGTGTTAAACAAATTCCTCTTAAATCTTGTTCAGTTGTTCCACTAACAGCCCCCGGCGGACAAAAAACAGACAGACAGATATAAAAAACGTTGTTTATGTTGTTACTATGTCAATAATAAAAACCGGTTTGGAGAGAACAGTTAGTTACATTACGATCCTATTTTAAGTTACATTCATAGTGAACGGGCCACAATGTGTTATTCATCAATTATTATGTTACTAATAACTTGGATATTTTTGTCCAGTGTCAGGTTATTGTCGATGACAGCGATTGATGTACCCCACAAACTTTGTTTATATTTAAAAAAGATATTTTTCAGATTGTTTTTAGGTTTGTAACGATTCTCTTACTATTAATATTAATCATTATTTAAGCCACTCCTTGTTTTGGTCGTTCATACCTCGTTTCAGGTTTTATAACAGGTATTCATTGAAGTTCAAAATACGATATTAAAGAAAATCTTATACGCGAAGAGACATATTGAAGTAAATAAGATTTATTGATTTATTTACTGTAAATTTAACGACGATCACTGAAATGATATGTTTAGTTTTAAAACTTTTAAATGTTTTCAAGACTTACTCATAAGTGGGCAAACTACCTGCTTGGCTCACTTCTCCGAAATTTGTTAGTTTTATAGTTTATTTTTTGCGAATCGAGCTTTTGAAATCTTTGTTATTATATATTACAGGTATCACATATACTCTTTAAAAGTAAGCGAGGCTTATGGTAAATTACATTTTTGAACAATATAGCTAAGATTAAATGTAGTATTTGTAAATCAAACTAAAACTCAAATAACTTTATTCAATATAGAAGCATTACACTTTCTTATTGATGGTCACTTTGAGACACTACCACCGGTTCGGAAAAGAAAATACCCTGACCTGAGAAGAACCGGCGAAAGAAACTCAGCGGGTAAATCACACAGAAAATTCAAAAACATACAGCCCTTCTCTAATAGAATACTTAAATAGACTCACAGATTGATTGGAATGCTACAACATACTTGTTAAAATAATCCAAACACTAAAGTACCGTTCCGTACCTGATGAAATCCAGAGCTCCGATCACTTTATATATCCGTTCACAAAACGTACACAACCGACGCTCTCGGGATCGCTTAGAAAGCACAGGCGGTCGGCGGTCGGCAGGCTCGGCCGGCTTCGACCACTCCACCGGCGAGGATTGCCGTCAGACCACTTTTATATAATGAACTCCTCGCTCACCGACCACTGCAACACTTTTACTACACTCTGACTTTGAGCAATACTTCTCACAAGTTTTTCTCACTTCCCGGCGTGACGCGCGTGTTACTAGTGAGGTGTGCGGGGAGGGTAGCCAGCGAGGACGCGTCTACCACGTGCCTCGAGCGAACACGGACTGGACTGCACCGTTCACAGACCACGGCGGGCGGCGGGGCGGGACGGAGAGAGCGGGCTGCGGGAGCGGGCGGGGAGCGGCGCGGGCAGGCGGGAGGGGAAGGGGACCTGCCCCACAGCTTGCCCTATAAACTTGCTTTTTACCCGCTCTCATGTCGTGAGTAGGCTGGATCCTCGTGCAATTGTGTGAAAGGCAAATCGTATTGCAACTACATTATAGCTGTACGGATGTCGGATACCTACCGGCACAAGCCGTCTCACCTCGAATTCGATTTAAGGCTTTCGAAATCTTTATTTTAGAGCTTCTACTGAAACAATCTACGATCGGATTAATATTTATGACATATTATTTTATATACATATATGTATATTTTATTCATGTCCAAACCTATGCTAGCATATTCACAGCGTTCGTGTCAATGAAAACATTGAACGAGTCTCTCCTCAGAGGTCGTGGGCGAGCGTTGAATGGAGGAGTAGCAATAATACGCACTGCAGCTCCAACACACGCTAGGCGAGGAGCGCCAGCAGGTGGGCGCGGGTAGCGGGCAGCGGGCAGGGGGCGGGGGGGACAGATTGTATTAGGCAATGTTTCACAAATAGCACGGCCACTTGGAAACACTCGTTCAAGTAAACTGATGTGGACGTTATGCACTTGACGAGAGTACTCGGCTCAGTTTCCAGCTCACGGTGAGGACGTGACATGAGCACATTGTTCAACAAAACTCGCCGACTGTCACGTGTTCTGTAGACGTGTCAGTCGTCTGAAGTAGAGCAAGGTCGCAGGCGGCTTACTGCGAAGCTTGTCCACACTCCAGAGGTCGTTTTCTATCAGGTGAATACAGTTCTTCGAGCCGACACCCCTCTGATGTCAGTTGTTAGTGTCACAGGAAGGGTTTTCTTTGCATATAGAACTGTTTGTAGGTCCAGTCAGTCTGGTCAGAGGCTCGTGTGTCTTTTGTAGGTATATTTAGTTATTGTCCAGTGTCCAGAGACCGTTGCACGAACTAATCAGAGCTCGTTCCCTATCAAGTCGACTGATTCATTACTAACACGACTGGCGGCCGGTGACTCAGCTCTTATTATATTTCTCATAAACCTGATAGCTCTACATAACGAAAAGCTACTTTTTAAACAAAACACATAATCTTATTGTTATCGTGTGTGTCCTCGTTTGATGTTTATTTCTTATGAAACACTTCGTCACAGCGGGCGTTTATCAGTAAATATTTCAGTGTGCTCCTCATAGTTGAAACACGCTTGTTGTTTGTTTCCTGGCCGTCACCTGGTGTCGCTCTCTGTCTGCACACTTGGCATTAAGGATTTATACGTAATATTAACAATGCTCATGCTTTTATTAGTATGTGTGAGTTGGAGCATCAAAGGAATGTAACAGATGGTAGGTGAGGGCGGCCGGTAGGGGACCGTTCCCAGGCTGTCGACCAGCGTCAGCTGACCTCTGGGCTCGCAAACATTGGTTTATGATTCAGAGTTGGCGATCGACGCGACCAGACCACACGCTCCTGAGGATTCTCTTCAATTATGAAACGGACCGCTCTCACGCGCTCCACGATAAATACAATGTTGACACGTAGATCATTACAGACAGAACATTATATGACCATAGGAATGATACTACCAGGTGTGAAATATATATATTGGAAGTAACTGTGAGAGACCTTTCAAGAAGATGACGTTATTTTAAATTTAAACATTTGTCGAAGTACTTTCATAAAATGTATGTTAACAAAACGGTTTTTATACCGAAACTGGTTCTATAACAATACAATGTATGTATAATATTAATGGTTCCGGTTCCTTTTAAGTTACGATATGATGTGTCGTCTATTTTCAGTCAAATTTTTGTATTTGGTATACATTATATTACAAATAAATATACATTTATACATATATTTCGCTGTACATAGTACTAGAGGTCGAATACCAAAGTTTTTGTCAATCAGTTTATGTTTGTAAAGCTTTCATAAATATAAAAGTCTCTGTATGTTTGTATGTACGTCTTGTAAGTCTCGTTCCACCACCGGCCCCGACCCCTGCTCGGCGTGACGTACCGCTTGACTCACTCCTCGATATCACAGAAGCTACATGTTTAATCTGTATGAACATTGAACGTCGTATGACAAAGAAATCTTAGAATGGCTTTGTTCATAAAAGGAAAATGTCATCGAAGACTACTTTGATGTTTCCTATTATTGTAATGGTTTCAAAGCCGAAGAGATTCATGCGTCTAGTTCGCTTTATATTATATTTATCCTTTGCAATGACGGGATGCCGATTGATTTAATTATTAGAATTATTACAAAAATAGTCTTCCGGGTTGTAGCATTTATATTATAAATAATAAGAATGACGTCATCAGCCGACCATCAGTCCTTGTCCGTTATCTCACATCTCTTCTCTGGAGTGAGATTCATCCGTGGAGTGTTCAGTAAACATCCTCCACTCTCTCCATGAGACGCGTCCCCTTCAAACGACACTCGCCTGTTAGTTAGAACTGAAAATACGCAATTGCTCTATTATAAATTGATTATTAATTTATTTTAATGTCATTTTAATCGAATGTTCGACTCTCCAGCCTGATTTACGCAGAGTTGATTAATTTTTCATCAACTCCTGCCATCATGTCACTCCCCAGACGATTCGCCGACTGAAACAGAACTAAAGTAAGCTTAATGTTTAGGAACTGTGATATCCTTATTAGATTTGAAATGAACATGACGTCCATCAGTTCAGATAAAGAAAAGAAAAACAAGATATATGGCATGTCACTACAAGTAATATGTAAGGTTCTACATTCACAGACTGGACCGAGGCTCAAAAAGATACCACGAGGAGATGTTCCGAGCGACAGAGGTTGTAGTAGTGGTTGTTTACAAGTTATACATTTCATTAGTATTCAGATATAACTGAATTAACTCTGTTTTGATTGTAAATATAATGAAAATGAATACTTATTATATACCGCATTTCAACTACGACTCCCATCAAACTGATATTATAATATTAACCAAAAGTAAAATTTTCATGAAGTCATGCAAAAATACTCATAGAAATTGATATGAGCCTCAGATTTAAGTAAGTTTATGTTAGTATATGAATTTCAGATTTCCATAAACGAGATCCAGCGTCCCACAACAGGACTGATTGTATTTCTTTATTGCCACCCGTTCATAATATATGTTATAATGGGCGTCGCGTTATCTCACAGTCATCGCTCGTATCGCTCACGGTTGCTACACCAGGCGGCCGCTATCATTATTATCAATTGGCTATAAAGCAAAGTAGGTTCAGTGTACGGACGATCACGAGCGAGCGGCGCTAAACAAACAGCTAGCACCGCACACACCGCACCCACCGCACACACTACTATATATTTATACAAATTATGGCAATGTCCGATTACGAGCGGCTACTTAATTTGTCTTATCGTTACCTCGATTGAACGGTGCTCTATTGGTCTTGGGAGGGAGGGAGGGTGATTTAAGTGAGCCCCACAGTGTGGTGATGTACCTCTACCAATGACTGTTTTTTTCCAGAAGCTTCCATATTATCACATGTAAAGTGTTAGCAGTATTTTTCTTATTTACACGTTATGCTTCCTGTTGAAGTAAACAGAAAAGTGATTCCATCACCCCTGGTCGAATCTCGCCTTTGCTTCCTTTTAATATTCTATTCACCCAAAATTAGATTCAAGGTTTTTGTTCCATAACAAGTTCTTAAACAAACTAACAAGTTGTCAATAAATTTAAAATTATACCAATTAGTTTGATATACACTGGAGGTGGAAGATCGCTCATCAGGTGCCTACATGTATAACATATGTCAAGTACACTGATGTATTCAGAGATCGAAGATATTTTCTTTCCAAATGAAATTAAACTAAAAACTGGAACACTGATCGGGTTAAGAATTAATTTTTATCTATACTAATATTATAAAGCTGAAGAGTTTGTTTGTTTGTTTGTTTGAAAGCGCTAATCTCCGAAACTACTGATTCGAATTGAATAATTCTTTTTGTGTTGGATAGTCCAGTTATCGAGGAAGGCTGTGGGCTATATAACATCACGCTACGACCAATAGGAGCAAAGATATAGTGGTAAATGTGTAAAAAACGGGAGAAAATATTTCATCTTTGAAGCCTTCCGTTGCGTGCGCCGTGAAAACGGTTCAAGATACACAAAAAATATGTATTAAAGAATAATAGCTCTTTTAATGATCTAAAAAACAGTCCGCGACAGTATATGTCTATCTTTTAAGATTAACTCACAAAAACCGTTTTTATGGTACCTAATTTGGTCGAAATAATTTGTTAAGTTGTATCAACATAATAATATTAATCTTTATTCAAATAAACAAATAAATATGTTGTTGGTTAAGAATACTTCATTGTGAATAAAAAAAACATACTAATATAAAAAAACATATCCTGAAAATTCAACGGGAACTCGATCATTCCGAAAACCCCGCAAGAACGGGAACTATGTGGAAAGAACCAAAAATCTGCCGGAAGTCACTATTCCACGCGGACGCAGTCGCGGCAAAAGCTAGTATCTAATACTACGATAACCTTATTAGGTATTATATAAGAGTTATAAGAAAAATTATATTGACTCATCTCATCTCTATAAAAATTTTATGTAATAAAGATTCATCACAAATTCAAACAAACACGATCATTGATCAGTGTTTTGAGGACAGTTTGTTTTCAATGTTTATTATGTTATTATCAGAAGGGTCCTCACACTACTGATACATATTTTAACAAAACCTTTTCTCGTCTATGAGCCGCTGCGTCGTGGGTCGCGTTGTGTTGTCTACAATATAATATTATTCCTAATATAGTAGTCTCTGTTTCTGTGAGACGTTATAGATAACATAATAAACAGTGCAACTGGAATCACACATAGAACACATCCCCCTGATTTAAGCTTAATGTGATATGTATTTAAGTAAGTATTTTTAAGTCCCCTCTAACCTGTGACGGACGGCGACCCGCACCTACACGGTTATCGTGACACGTTTACTATTTATGTGGAGTGAATATTGTTATTGATACGAGCATCACCGGGAAATAAATAAATATTTGATCAGGTCCGTTGAGGAGGTCGATGACCTCAAATGAATTATCATCCACAGGAAGGACAGGGACGAGTAATACTAGATGATAAAGATTTAAGATTCGTAATGAGGGCAATTTGTATTAAATAATGTTTATGTTTAAAAGCGATACGTCAAGTACAAGACAATCACAACGAACACAAACAAGCTTCGGATTACTGTTTAGTCGGGAACGATTGTCGTGTGTGTGTGTGTGTGTGTGTGTGTGTGTGTGTGTGTGTGTGTGTGTGTGTGTGTGTGTGTGTGTAGTTGAAAGTCCTTCTCTGATGATACGTCGAAGTTATTTGACACCTTATAATGGTATCACATTTATTACTAATAAGAACGCTTTTGCTGAGAGGACGGTTACTTTTGAAGTATTTTTGATGATAAAACATATGTTTGTTAAGTTGACTCGTGTTCTTTTATGTAATTTGTTCCATTATAATAGATATGTATATATTTTCCTAACATTTCATCTGTTTCCTTGTTTTAACGTTAAATCAATCGAACTCCAGCCTAGTGAGATGCTGCTGTTTAGTTTGCCCTCGACGCCTTGGACTGCCTTAAAGTAAAGCAGAAAATACAAGTATATATAATATTATATATAGCTTTTGTCAGCGGCGGGTAATCTCGTTCATCACGAGATCCGAAGAACATAAAGGATTAGTTTTATAGAGAGCGACTAAATTACATTGTTTAGTATACATCGCTGCTTCGTATATATATCTATACGAAAGACGACAGAGATAGTGTTCAATGGAAATAACACAAAATAGTAAATTAATATATTGCGTCGTGTAGTAACGTGTTCCTTAAAAGGCTGGGTTAGATTTTGCTGACTGAAGATTTACAAGCGGTAAGTGTGAATTGATTTAGATACCCGGTTTATCTTAATGATGGCCAACCAGACGAGGAGTGGACACACACCAATATTATATTGTCACAGACACAGGGCGGCTTCAAAGACAATCATTTTTTTTTCACCACATTCTTCCTCTTGAAAGTTTTCTCGTCTCCGATCCTCCATAAAGCACAGTGTTGGCGCCTTGCCGGCACTTCTATAAGGAAAGGAATTTAAAATTTAGTTAATCTTCATTCATTTCTATGATAGTATTATATTGTTTTTGATTTATGAAAGAACGAAAATACAGTGAAATGTAGTAATTTTATTTGACATTAATATGGACACTCATACAACATATAGTTGACTTAGTTGTATACCAGTTTAGTCCGGTGACTGTCTTGGTGATGTAACTTATATCTCCTACCTCTCTCCCTCTTTTCTTTTGTTTTAAATTACTCCAGGACCATGAAACACCTTTAAGACGTTTGTAAAATAACAAAATAATGAATACTTTAAATGGTTGAACAAGATTCGGAATAAATTTCAGGAATCTTTGAAGTGAAGTGTAAAGTATAGTGGACAATGATCGAGTCCCGCTAATTGTTGACCACGGGATGAGAATTGAAACAAAATCGCCATTAAACATCTTCTTTGTGAAGAAAAGTGATGACAACAGTTTTATTCACACTATAATAAACTTCTATAATTTGTTTTCAGAGACGACAACTTGCTCTTATTCGAGAATGTTTGATAGTTAGGTCGAATAAAACATGTATAAATAAATGTTAAGAAATGAAAGAAAAAATGAAACCAATACAATCAAAATATATAACAATGTATATCATTATGTCAGGATGTTTCATAATGAAGGAATATTACAGTAGTCGTCTTAACGGTCACTCCCGACTCAGTGTAGGGAGACAGTGTTTGATTTTATTATTGGCAATATTATAAAAGAAATAAAACATGAGTTAATACGATGTACTTTTTACGTAAGCTATCACTCTACCGACTCCTACTACCTGCTATACCTGATCATAAACATTAAATACTTAAAATGTTATGAAGGACTGCGGATACTTGTTCATTGCTGGCCAGTCGTTGCCAGTCGTTGCCAGTCGTTGCCAGTCGTTGCCGGTTCCTTATTATAGCTGGTCCGTGAAGGGCGACCTGAAATAACTCCGGAGCGTGTCGAAACCAAAAGGACATCTCTCGTCCGTCCGAACACTTCGTTTATTTGTTTCCTATCAGGTGTGGAACATGAAAATATGTTTTTTTATTTCCTTTCATCTGCTCTCCCTTTTGATGTTTCCAGTTTTCTTTGAACATATTTTATTTTAAGGAATCGGTTCACTAAGTTTGTCGTAAGAATATAAAACTTTAATATCCGTGTTCATTATTATTATTTACGGGTTTGAGCCACGACAACTTTAGACGACCGTTCGTTCTATGATAAGTAAATGTAGTTAGAATTGATTTTGATTGCCAAATATTTGTGTGAACAACAAACATCTATCAAACTGTAGTAATCAAATTACAAATTAATGCCGTCTATAACAGAATCGATAAAATAGGATATTAAGGGATTTCCGAAATTCATTATGACATTAAATTGAAAACACAATCGGCTTTTCGATTGTGAAACTTGTATACGAGTTTATAATGAAGTTAAGACTGAATAAAACTAAGGATGTGTATGTGATGACCAGTGGGTTAGTTATTGACAATAAATGAGATAAATTAACATACCGGCGAGCTCATACACACACATACACACACACGCACAACACATGTATAAGCACGCGAAGCTTCATGAAAACCACAAAAGTTTATTACACGAGTATACACCTCAGATGTACGAGTACTTACGATGCGACCTCAAACCTCAAACCTCGCACCCTCGCTCATTGGATCCTTCATAGCGGATGATGTTTAGTATCGAGCGGTTCAAACGATCGCTCGCTAATTGGGTAAGTTAACTGAACTAGTTGTGTTTGTTTGCGCAAGTCAAGAGCGAGGTCAACGAGCGCTCGCGTCATCCAGGGGCGCGGGCGCGGGCGTGTCCGGTGCCAACTGATGGATGTTCCTCGCCAACGATACGTCACTCTGTACGATCATAATAAACATCCGCTGTACCGACACTCCACCGTCGACCTCGTCCAACTCTTCACGTTATTCATCAATGTTGGTCGTTACAGTATTGCTTGCGTTACATTTTTAAAGCCGCAGTGATCGAAGTTCATTCCAACTAACGAGGCGGATGTCGGTCGTCTACAGCGAGGGTTGTTACTGTGAGCTACACGTGACGCGAGGGATGGAGATGCTAATGGACCCCGAGCTATCGATCACTGATCCAGTTACCGACTTAGATCACACTGGTCGGCCAGATTGATTGATGTACGGTCTGTGTGGAGCCGCAACACAACCACACACTGGGACACTGACGGGGAATGTGTACCGCCTTCATGACATACATAATATTATAATGAGTGTTCTAACGCTTATACTTAAACTTCAGTGTAACTTCAAAATAAATTCTAGTTTGGTGTTAACAGGTTCCAGCTAAACAATTAGAGAACATGAATACGACTAGGAAATGTATTGCGTCCACAAATCTCATATAATTCTTGTGATGAGTTACATTCAAATAGAGTACAGTGATGACGTAAAAACCGTTTCAAGTAGGATTCGATCCTCTAAACATGTGTGGAGTATGAACTATGAGTCATTTATAATCTTAAACTAGGTGTATGTACTCGCATACATCAATGAGAGTCAAATATAAGAAACCAAAATGTTTGATTTTTCTTAACTCTTTTTTCAACAGTTAATGTATTGATTCAGTTAATTTTCTAACTTCAATGAAGCGCAAAGTTATAATGTTATGATGACATTACTTAATAACATTGAACAAGGAATGCTTTAAACTTGTTTAATAATCTCCCCGAGGATGGAATCTTCACTGAGCAGATAGTGTTTCAGTTAAAAGGTTTCTGAGAAAGAACTAATTCCTTCGTTTCATTAATGAGTATAATTGTTTGTGATTACAAATAAATCCTATTACCTTAAGACTGTAGAATACTTATATATTTGAATATAATATAGTGTGTATAGTATAATATAAGCCTCTCATTATATTCATGAGGCGTCGTGTGTTGGCTGTCAATGAGTTTTAAAACATAATAAAAATAAAACATTTAAATCCTAGTAGTATGTATTTGTCAAAGTATGTCTATCTGTCAGTAAGGTTCTTTTTTATTTAATTAATCAATCAATGTAATCATTGATATAATATTTGTTACACACGGGTGAAGACGTTTGTTTTATTAATTATTATTACAGTTATTTTCACTGCTATGTTGTTCGCGATCAGGTATGACTGTTATAAACACAAGGTGAGTTAGGTGAAGGTAGGTGGTTGGTGGTAGGTGGTAGGTGGTAGATGTAGGAAACGTCAGTAAGTGTAAATTGTATCGGTCAACATGGTGTGTAGCGACCAGCCGGCGGGATCATTAGCGAGGGTCGATGACCGCGTGGGCGCTCTTCATCAATGTAATACATGACTGAATTAAAAAGCAGCTGTTCCTCTCAACATGCCACTGACGATACATCTCAAATGATCGAACTAACAAATATTATACAAGATTCGATGTGAAATTTTATTATGAAGCCCGGTGGATAATTATACTTCTACAAATGTTATTATTGAATTATCTACGCATCGAAATCTAAATGGCCCAGTTCATACATGTTATATTGAAAACAATATCTGCCTAAACCGTTACATTAAGCGAGAACACGTTCTAATCCTATTTGAAATTAACATAATTAATCTGCGTTACTCCCGACTCCAGTGTGCGGATGTGGGGCGAGGGAGATTTAAAGATGATTTTAAATAGAAATCATTTACGGCTTACATGACAAATGTTACCTAGAAACTTAGAGTGGTTTGGTAAGAACTTCTAAGGTACGACTAACACCTGGATTCACTTGTTTGTCTTTTATTATGAAGGTGTTTAATACGAAAACGACTTCGTTCTAAAAATGCTTTGATATATTGTGCGGATTGAAAATGTATTGAACTTTGAGATGAAAAATCGCGGTTCCCTTGACAATGAAGCTCCGAACGATACCTGCTATGAAATATTAGCGTCACTAACACGGAACCGACACAGACGGTCATCTGAATTCCTATAAGTGATACCTTCGAATCGGATTTATTAAGTTTAATAAAAATATTTAATTTAAAACACACGTCATGAATGTTCTGACCTCAAGCCAGCCTCGACACACGTCGCTCGAGACGCTTCTCATTCCGCCCGCATTCGACTCTCATCTGATATATTCAAATGTACAAGTTAATTACGATAATACTGTGTTTGTTCAATTTCCTTTAATGACTAAAAGAAACACTGAGTAATGTTCGCTTTGATTGAGTCACATGCTCATATAATGTAGATTATCATATCATGATCACTGACTACTAATGACAATAAAGTGAGACAGTATTTGTTTTGATTATTTAGTTTAGAGTGATCACTCCTTTTGGCTAGATGCACAACGTACAGGGTATGAACGACAACTAGTCTTCGAGAGTTCTAGATGTGAACTGGATAAATCAGATTCATTCTGTCAGAGAGATGAGGTAAGGATGATAAGAAGAGCGGATCGTTTGATAGCTACCTCTAGTGAGGTCGTGTGTGTGACACGTTCAGCTACTGACTACTGATTGTGTAGACTGTAGAGGTATAAGGTATTATGTATGAAAAGATTTACTGCTCTCATTGACGTCTAAATTATTTATCGTTCTATTTCTATGTACGAGAAGTCAGGTTAATCATCACAAAAAGATCCTGCTTGACTTACATGTAACGTGATATGCCTAAACTCAATAAATACTGATGAAATGACAAAATATGTAACATACAGCGTATAAATTCAAACAATTTCTTTAATTATAAATGCCATGTTCAGGTGTTTAGTCTAGTTTTTATGTTATAACGTTTGTTGTTCGTGTATAAGGAGTGTTGTTTAACGAGATCCGAAGCTAAGTAAATAATGGGTAATATATGAATTTAAGATTTATTTAGTTTTCAAAAAAGCAGAGCGCGTGAGAAAGGTCCGATCTATTTTCATTTTGAAGTTGACTGAAATATTGAGAGCTAAAGAACGAGTCTCGTGTGGATAGAGCTTCATTTGAATATTGAAATGGAAATTGAAAGATTTAATATGAATACTGAGAAGTTAGGGAAATCACACGCTCTGAAGACTAACGATACTTGTTATATTGTAGGTATAAATAGGTGTAATATTGTATATTTATGATCTTAGTGGTTCACGACTTATATTGGCCTACTATCTATGTTTATTACTGTTTATTATTTGTTATTACATTTTGAAAAAAATAAAATATTTTTAGATTTTTTCCAAAAGTGTTGTTTAATATTTTTTTTTTTTTTTTTATGTGAAGCTTGGCAAACGAGCAGACGGCCCACTTGATGGAAGGTGGTTACCGTCGCCCATGGACATCCGGAACATCTTTGTTGCGGATGCTTTGCCAAACTTGTTTTTTAGGGATAGGGAGGGGTGGGAATAAGGAAATGATAGGAAAGGGTAGGAATAGGGAAAGGGCAACCGGCTCTCTCACTCATCAGACGAAACGCAGCCATAAAGACTACTTCACGCCGATCTTCTGTGAGAGGGTGGTACTTCCCCGGTCGAGCCAGCCCATATTCGAGCTGTAGTAACTGACCACAGCTAGGCTCTACCACCTCAAAAATTTCTGTGTATAAGTAGCGGGCCTACTGCCGATAGTACTGTATTGACGGCTGACAGTTACAGAAACAATGTATTTAATGTAGAAATTGCCTCGGACTTATTACTCGATATATTCAGTTATTTTACTTTCTTTGTTTTTTATAATGTTAACTGTTTCTCTTCATTTGTTTTCACTCTCTATTAGGCTTTTTTTAACATCTTTTACTAAAAAAATACTCTATTAAACATTCTAACTCATGGTGTGTAATCATTTTCAATATTGTTGTGTGGGAAATAAATAAAATGTGCTTATTTCATTTCATGAATTTCAAATAGATTTCTACCTTAATTAAAGTGTAATTTGTAAATATTTTTACTTGACATTGGTAATTTTTTTAAAGTGTATTTAAAAAAAAATGGTTTAGAGAGTTCTAACTGTAATGTTAAAAAATAATAATAATATAGAAACATACTTGTATCAAAAAACTTTACAACCAACTTTATTATTAAAATCTTAAACAAAACAATATAGCATTATGTATAAAAGTATGAGAAGGTAGTTCTGTCATACTCGTATAACACGAACTCGCAAATTATTCAGTATGAGTACTTAGTGCAAGGACGCGGCAGAAATCAATGTGACGAGAAAATAGAGGCTAAAGGTCACGGCCGTGCTAACGAGACTCGAGGGGCGACGAGCGAGTAGACCGATGAGTAGACCGGGGAGTAGACCGACAAGCAGACCGGTCGGGCTATGAACATCTTGAGAGAAAGACCGTCTTTTCCATCTTAGTGATATACACATATACACATGCTTCCGGAGAGCGAAGTGATGTTGACTATTGTAATTTAATTTTCATTGTCACATATAAAATATAGTTTTGTTGAGCGAAAAAGGTAAACGAATAAACAAGATTACAAGGATTAAGCAAGTTAATTAATTATTCATTAGATCATTTGTGCCCCGGCGGGAATATTACCGAGCAATCAGACGGCGGTACTGGCACCCTTATCGGTGTGGTGGCTCGTTCCAGGAGCTTAATGTGTCTCTAGACCCGCCTAATACCTGCAACCTAATTTACTATATCTTTCAGCGATAACAGGTCGGGAATAGTGTGGCCGGCGCGTGGATCGCATCGTTAAAGTTTACAACATTACAGGTAGTTAAGACTGGTACGAGCACATACTTTAGTCATACCTTATTAAAAAAATCATTTGTTTAATGAAAAAGATATATTAGAACGTAGGATATAAGTCAAAATATATTCCTTAAATAATCAAATGTTATTCAAGAAGCCTACTCTGTTCTCTCATAATGAATAAATCTCTGTACCTGAAGCGTCTCTGTTATTTCGCAGGTTGATCCTTTTGAAATTCATAATATGTCAGCTCCAGTGACGTCACACCGTGCTGCCAACTGACCGCCAACCATCCGCCAAACGTCCCACAGACGACAAACAATTCGTCCGTGTGCTCGTTTTATTTGAAGCTACAATGAAATAAACACGTACTTGGAAAAAATATATACTCGACATTGTGAAGCTTCCAAAGATTGTTTATTGAAAAAAGCCACCTTTTTACGTATTTGTAATATTGTAGAATAACAATATTGTAAAATATTTATTCAAAGAGTAAAGAAGTAAAGTAAGACTTTATAAAAATATGTAATTTTACATTTAAATGTTGTAAAGTACTCAACGATAATGTACCGGAAGTACTCCTGAGAAAACAACTATGTCCTGGTTTAAACAGTGTAATTAATTAAAATTATTAATAACAATAAATTAAGCATATGTCTCGTTCTGTTATGTCACCTGCATTACTTTAAAGTTTCATCAAAACCCATAAAGTGAGCTTTCCTACAAAGTTAGACATCCATACAACCACACACTCTACAACTTTACACACCACAAACAAAGTTTTGAATCCATTATATTAGTAAGATTATATAATTAAAAAAATATATAATAAGGCAATGTATATTGCGGTTTCTTAGAAGTCAGAATAAATGTGTGGTGAATGGAGGCTAAGCATATGTGTTTTTTAATTTGTTAATAAGATGACAAATGACCAAATAGCTGTTGAACCCATTTGGTGATAAATGTTAACCAGCACCCATGGATATCTTCTACAAAATGAGAGGTGCAGAAGGTTGTGCAGGAGTAACCTGTACACTCGACTTTTAAAAGACCAAAAGAAAAAACCCAAATAATAGCCGACACGAACGTACTGTTCTGCCATTTAAAAAGAGACTAAAATTTGTAGATAACATCCAGATCTAATGTGGAGAATAAGATGACACTATTAAAAATTCTCTAATCTCTGTCATACATCGGACAGACAAAGAGAAGCATCGGTACAAGGGTTAAGGAACACATTTCAGACGTCAGGAATAGGCGCGCGTCGAAGTCAGCAGTGTGTGAACATGCATTGGACAAATCAGGCCATTACATTAGATTTGATAAACCACATATCCTCGCTCGTGAAGACAGATATATACCAAGGTTAATTCGCGAGGCTATTGAAATTAAAAAACACCCCAATTTCAATAGAGAAGATGGCTGGAACCTATCAAACACTTGGGATCCTCTTCTTAAAAAAATAAAATCCCATGTCCGTGACCACACCACAGGACCTCGAGACACCATGAGCGCATTGTACCGGCATCCAGAGCGGTACGCAAGACAATTAAGAAATCGATGGCGGTTGGTGATAAAATAACAAGACCAACTGACAGACACTCACATCTCGTCTGCACGTGATCACGGTTGCTGAAAAGTAGCCGAAACATCGGAAGTATGTAGTTTGTAATCAAAAATAAAAACGCGAAGTAAAATCCGAAAATATTAGTTTCATTTAAATTCTCTAATCTCTAATAATCTAGTCTCTAATTACCTATAAGCTATAAAAATCCCAGAGTGAGTTCACTTTCCCTCGAAGTCCAAGGGTGCAAGGTCAAATATCAACGAATGTAAATCCTCGGTCTTTTAGGGGGTCAAGTGAATGTAACTAGTACCAGGAGGAGCAGGCACAGAGTTGAGAGGAATTAGGGATGATCCTGTGTTTGGAATGACAAAAATAATTTTCCCATGAGATAGAATAACTCACTTATGTATACATTTCTATTTGATTGGAAATGAGTTTTTCGAATACTTCGCGCGTTTATTTTATTTTATGATAACAATTAACAACATAATCCCAATATTTTGGTCATTTTACAGCAGCCGTGATCACGGACAGACGAGGTAGAAGTGTTTGTCGTCGTGACCCACTATCCCAAAATCTTAATCCATTTAAATACTAAATACTTATATATCACTATTTATATTTGATTTTTTGATTTCTACAAGATAAACGTATATGCTAGAAAGCATGAATAGAAATAATCTCTGTATTAACAACATCTACAATATTCTCCCCCCGATATTGTTCTGTGAGGTCATTCACTTTATATTCATGTTTTGGAAGCCCTCTTAACCCTCTTAATTTCATCCCTTCGATTCGAATCTGACTACTAGTTGAACTTGTATTGTATCGTTGCTCCGTTTTATGAAGTCAGCATCACTTTGATTACAAGATTTTATTATATATTTTATTTGTGTTTTTTCTTTGAGTAAATAATTAATAAAATCATAAATCGGTCTATTTTATAAAATAAATGAACAGTTCTACATATATTCGTCCTCAGTCTACGTTAACTGGAATGTACAGAAACCGTAAGAAATAATCCGAGTAATAATTAATAAGGCATTGCTAGACCCAATTAGGTTTTATAATTAAAATTTCTTTAAAATTGAATAAAATAATTATTCATAGGAATCATTACTAAATTAAGAAAAGAGTTCAGTAAAGCTGAACTGAATTAATTATTATGCTAAAAATGTTGGTCACTACTTCCTACAATGTATGTATATTATAAACTTTTGATGTAAACGATGTCATATTAATAATAATATATATAAGTTTGATATTATTTGATTATTAAGTGAACAGTTTCATTATGATGGACTATAAGCTTGTAATTGTGAGCAAACAATATAATATTTGGATAATTAGATATCATGTATTTGTTTAAGTAACACAGGCAACGACCTGCTTCTTGTACACGTTGACAAATAAAGAAGATACTTTTTGAACCGCGATGAATTATGTCCAGTAATGTGTGATCTTCAAACAATGCTATTTTTATTTTATCGAAGGGAAACAATTGTCTAAATTTTTTAAACCATTCTATTTTATTTCTGTTGTTTATAGGAGAATTGATAATTTCTTCTCCTAAATCAACGTTTGTCCAAACATGATTTTATTACTATCTGTTATTGGTTCTTATGTTACTATAGCTTTCTTTTAAATGTTCAATATAAGTTTCTTACACACCACCAGTCTCTCAGTATCCTCCGTGGCGTGTTATCGTCGTAGTCTTACAAACGGCCTTGTTATCTATTTGACGCACCCTTTTTCTCTCTCATTTACTTTATTTTATCATTAGAACAGACATGAAGAGTGCGCCGTTTACTCTTAATGGAACAATTATTCAGATTAAAGTGCACGCAGCCGTAAACAAAGCGTTAGGAAATTATATTTTCTAATCAGAATATAGTTGTAACGAGTGTTTTATTCTATTACACTATTATTCTTACTAATTTAAGATAATATTTCTATGGCCTGAACAATTTCACTTACTGAACTGCTTGTGAAGTCAAACTCTAACGCTACATATTTTAAACTCCTAAACTTCGGTACTTGTCCTAATGTCTCTCTGGGGTGCCACACGCCTGTAGGCGCCTAACACACTATCTGCTATTTGTGGCGAACGTATGTTTTAAATTATGAGTACGAGAGTGGACAGTGTGTAGTTGACCTGCGATGATACATTACAGAAATAATTTTATAGCACATTTTGGAAACCAGAATAATTTTCAAAGCATTTTTAAAGGTTTATTTAAGAAAAGTATAAGTAAGACTTTTCACAAGCTTCTGTTTATTACTTACGAGTATACAGAAGTTTGTGAAAAGTTTGTGTAGTTATTGATCAATTAGAGAACCAAAATATTATAAGCATAATATAGAACACATATTCCATTTATATCACATATAAATATGTCGTGTGTGTGTGTGTGTGTGCCTGTGCGCGTTTGTTTATTCATTATTGAATACCAAGTAATATATTTATATATTAATCTGATAAGCTGATGACATGACATTAATCTGCTACAATATAAACACGAACACATCTCACTCACACGCGTCTTTAAATACTTCATCTTTCTACAAACATTATTTTCAGATGCAACGCTCTTCCTTATTTGGTACGTTTCAATATTTATTTTATCAAAATGTTTTATCTGGACCGAAATAGATTTTGTTAATTATATTGTTTTAAACAAATACAATGTATAATGAAAACTGAGCCAAAAACTGATGAATTGATATTATTTAAAATATAAAAAGTCGGTCTGATGAAGAAATAAACAAAACACAACAGTACAACAATCATGTGATGCATTCGTGTTTCAATCAAATGTTTTCTTTCTGTGTCTCGATGTCATTATGCAATATAACACATGTCTATAGATTGTTATCTTCAGTAAAGTGTGTCATATAAGTAAAGTTTACCTTGAAAGTAAATTCTGTTATTTGCTTTCAAATATTTGTGAAACTCACGAGATTTACTAGTTTAACATTCGCTATAATACTCCAAACAGTTGACGGTATTGGTTCGTGTCATAAATTATTATTTTAATTGTATTTTAAATGTAATTATATGCTACTCTCCTCTGTTGAGCTTGTAGAAATATTTTTTTTAGTTTAGATCATTGTTTCTCAAACAGGTCAGTAGTCTTAACACAACTCTTCATCGTCCTACTACGAGTACCTACAGTGTGAGCGGTATCAGACTTTCATTCATAAACCTACGTTAATACTATTGTGTGAAAGAAATCGCTCCGTATTTAGCATGAAGTAACAACTTTGTTGTTACTACAAGCTTGTAACCCGACTCTGTCTGTCTTCTTCTCTTCTCTCTCATAGTGTCACTCTTCCTTTCTTCCTATATCTCGTGAGGTCATCGTATGAATCTTGCTGATATCTAATGTCATACAATTCAGATATTAATAACAAAATTACTAAATATCTTTTTATTTATATAATTTTGGGTGATATTACTTTTTAATTATACTTTGCTATAAACGGTCTTTTTATGTACCTGTATACAAAATATAAATACAGGTATCTTCTATATAACAATGCAAACGTTTGTATGAAGAATATTGTAGAAACAATAGGATTTCGGACAAAAAGTATTAATTAAAATGTGTGAATGCAATGTAAAAAATATATACATATTGGTTTTTGTTGTTACTATAATATGGGACATATGTTAAAGTTAATAAATATTAAAATAATAATGAATCTGTGATATTATTTCGCGTGTCTCTTAATATTTTCTTCACACGAACAAAAATGTTTTCATATAAAGACACGTCACAAGAAAACGAATTCACTTAATACGATGATAACATGACTGAACACAGTCACAGTGAAAGTCACCCGTTACTGTATCGACTGAGAGAAAGATACTCACGGAGAGATGAGTCTGAGATAGTAGTGTAGCTGTTATATGATGAGGATGAAAAACAATCATTACAGAGAAGGAAAACATTTAAACTGTGTATTGATATGTGTTGCCTGATAGTATTGTACAGGAACTAACAACAATGATCACGACTCCTGTCGCCTTTAAAGTTATGAACCGCTTCTTGCTATTTGTTACGTACATCAATAAATATTTAATATTAATCTGAAATTAACAATTGAATGAGTCGTATACGTCTAAATATTTAAGAGATTCATTTATATAAAGAACTAACGAAATGTAAAGAAATATACAGAAACGAATAACATTTTTCATAAATTATGCTTACATATTTCTTTAAGACGGCAAATTTAATTTGCTAAAAGTGATCTGTCGTGAACCGGGCGATATTAAGAAACCATTAGAGTAATGTGATGTTCTTAGTACTTACTGTGATCGTAAAAAGGTAACTTACTTTTTATAGACTAATATTTGAGAGAGTCCGGCGTATAACGTGACGTATTTCTTGTATTAAAGGAGGTAAGTCTCTAAGTAGTATGCCTTTAATTAAATCCTGTTAATATTTGGGGGTATGGATGTGTGTACGAGTATAGTCAAAGTCGGTTATGTAGCAGAGATCAGAGTTCTTTCAATACATTCTTTATGTATACCAATCACCTCACCTCGACTAGTCAACTGTTCTCTATTCTCTAAACTATTTGTTCTAAGAGGCGCGGGGCGCGGGGCGGTCGCTTGTGTAACGTTAACAGCACGTCTGCTCTTTAACCTTATTAGAGTATAAAGAGGTCGCGTAATATTAACGTTTCCTCTGTGTAGTCACTGGTCCGCTGCCAAACGACAGTATCAACTAGCACGTGCACTATCTGTCCTAATAAAACTTTATTCGACTAGCTCCCAACATTACCCGCTCTTATTGACCATCATGTCGAATACTGAACGACGGGACTTGAAACTTGAGGAAGTGGCCTCGCTTTGTAAAACATATAACTTATATTATATACTGTTCATAATCTAATATTTAATTCTATTGTTTAATGACATTTTTCAGGTGAAACAGACGAGTACAATTCACTCAATATCGTGGAGATGGTTTTAGAGGAGGCGAGTTCTGTGAGCCTGAACACTTTTAACAACCCGAGGTAGCTCTGTTGAGAGTGTTCGCGTCGCTCGATGTTTTCAAAGTATTTTATAAATGCACTCACTACTAATACGTCCCTCGCTTTGAAACACTCAAATGTTTTATTCGAGTTATATTACATCGTGATTTATTGTATGAAAATAAAAGTTGTATTTAAACATAGGAATAATAATTAAGAAGGTATCAATCGAGATATATGTTTTCTCTTATGTTATCGTCTGTTATTTTTGTTTTTCATAGAATATACGATATTTAGTTTTTAGTTTAATTTAGATAATGTTCCTCGGTTCAACGGAATTATCTAAATTTCTATATTGAGCGTTAGTCATTAAAACTAAATATTAAACGTTGGATAACGACACAGTTTTCTCTCATATATTGAACAAATAAAGCTGGAAGTTCTTCATCACACTGCAAATCCTCTGCTTTCCGATCAATCCTCATAACTGCAGTAAATCAATCACACCGTCCACATTGAAGGTATTCTCTCAAGTCCTGATCATGTGGTTTCTGTCTTCCTAAGGTTGCCATACATTCTTAATCGCTGTTTTCCATTTTAATGATCGCCATCAGTTCATTCCTGACACGTTGTTATCTATCTATATATTAATGACCCGTAGTTATATAAGTCTTGTAATGTTAGTATGACTAGAACAGAGTTAAATTTCATTAATACCATTTTATAACAGTTCTTTTCATGATCTGCAAAACTTTTCAACTGAAGTCAACTATGATTTCAACTGAACAATTGAAGTCAACTATGATTATTTTTAATTCATTACGGACAGATCCTGAAAGATTGACAAAAACTGATAAAAATCTTTTACCACATATGATTTAAGAATATATCCCTTTAATTAATTCTGTGCTTTCAAAGCTTCAGGTATTAATTGTATACAGACTGAATGTTGCGTGGTTTGTTAAGACTAAAGAAATATCTCCCATGTAAAGCTAACCTAACACTAACTTCTTCCTCACTTACTGTAGCTGATTAATCTCATGTTTTTCGAACGTAAGTGAAATTACTGTCATTAAACTTATTTCCTCTCTAGACATCTGTAATAAACTTATACCAGGGGTTCAAAATATTTTATTACATATTTGGTTACAGAAGCCAACTAAAATAGACACCTATATGGGTCGACAGAAATCTTAGAATACTTTATAAGCAACCTTCAATTTTATTTAACCCTTGTTTACCTGCATGTGTTCAGTGGTTGTGACAGATACCTTCGCCGCTTCACAATCCTCTCCATAGATTTCTGTTTATGCTTAATTCCTTTGAATTAACAGCTGCTCTACTTCGGAATGACTAACCAGAGTTAATTCAAAGTTTAACGTGTTTTTAAAAAATAACTGGAGCTTGTGACATTTTCATCGTTATTATTTTTAACTGGTACTTGTAGTTTAATACATCTTTCATGTCATTTTTCTGTTATACATTAATTTGTAAATCATAGTTTTGGGCATAATAATGAAGTTTTAATTTAAAGAAGAAACAAATAAATCAGTATGTATTTCAAAATATTAAATTTATTTAAAAAAATGTAATTTTGAACAGTGCTAGTATATTGATATCCCTCAAAAAAGAGAAACTTTCTGTCTGGTTAATTATTAAAACTGTAAAGAGCCGACTACACTCTCGACCTTAACCTTTGGAAATGTAATTCAAAGTCTATTAACGTCGTGTGTGTGACGTCATTCTATAATAACATATAGTTATTAAAAACACACAACGATTAAGAAACAAAAATGTCTTCAAAACATAAAAGTTATTTGATTGTTTACGGTCGTTCTGAGTGGTGACTCTTATTCTTTGGAACATGTTCCTTCCTTTCACCTTCCATATTATAAGAAGTAACGGTTTACATGTTGTGATCTTCATATACTTAAAGGATATTTATTAAATCCTTTATTAGTCCATTACCTTTTCTCTGTTAGTTGAGAAACTACTTTAGCTCTCACTACATACTTACCTTGCAATGTATGCTTCAACTATTAAATACTGGGATGTATGCTTTAATTTCAAAACGGTAATGTAGGGACTTAAATAAAGTAACGTGAAAGGGTTAACGCTATTTACAGTTAAGTACTCTTGTAAAATGAAATACAAAAAAAAAAACACATTTTACTAAAAACATGGGAGAAATATTTATATATAAAACAAATAATTAAGTGAGGCAGGTGTATTGTGTTTGTGTTTTTCTAAACAATGTTCTGTATGGACGATGCTTCATTAAAACTTGTCTTCATTCCTAGTTGTGGCTTCACTGACTGAAATATTTTAAATTACTTTGTTCTGTTTCAAATAAAACGGCACGTAACTATAAATGTGTTACTGGATACTCTAGTACTTTCACTATATACTATAGTTCTTTTGTTGTAACTTTATATAATTGTACATATATTTGTATATAGTAAATCTATAGTTTTAAGACACAAAATGTTTGGTTAAGTTTAAATGAGAATTTTTATCGTAACGAGAGAAACATATAATTGTATAGTATCATTTACTATCCGAAAGGACCTCAGTGAATACTGAATAGATTTTATTTTTAAACAAAAATAACTATTACAGCTCGTGTTGTTAAAAGTCGAAGTAAGTGTAATTGAAAATTCAAGGGAACATTCGAAGCTGTAAATAAATTTAAATCGTTTTGTTTCTACTTTTATTTTAAAACGGTTTCGTAGTTTTTAAAACTCTAATGCTCTCTCAGAAATGTTTTTCACTTTATAAGTATCTATTAATTCCTTCACATGAGCAGTTTATTTTTATTATGACGGTGATTGTGTCACTCCATTGACGGATTGATGACGCTGCTGATGACACGTTATTGACTACTGACATAAAGTTTACGAGTGACATGTCAACATGTTGACACAAACACACACTGTCAAATAAATGTAAGTTTTATATCAAGTAAGTAATAAAATTAGAAAAAATAGAACCAGTGAGCGAATATTAGTTTAACTTTGATAACAAAAATAATTAACTCTTAAAAGATTACGTGTAACCTTTATAATGTCTTATTATTTCTAAGTCTGAACTAAACAGGTGCCCTTATTTCCAAACCGCTCTCAGCTATTGTCGAATGAGGAAATCGTGAAACGATACAAAGGCTGGTTAACATAACTTACAAATACATTCATAGTACTCTTAGCAGATGTTTCAACACAGCGACGACTACGAAAAAAATTTTTCCCTGAGAACATATCAAGTGTTAAACTTGTAATTAATGATTATTATTTTTACTTTAATATATTAATTTTAAAATGACTCGTAGTACTAGCAATTTTTAATAATATAACAATTGGAATATTGACATATATTTGGACATATGTCTTTGAAGTTAGTAAACTAACCCAGTCTTAAATGTATAGTTATAATGAGAAGATTTAAAAACATTATTTTATTTGTCTGTCAGTTTAACCTTTGTTTGGGGATTTTAGTGGTGTGTATAAGAAGTTTTGGTTATGCAAAAGTATGTCTTATGTCTTTGTATGCCTTCTTACACATGTGTTTAATAATGAATTGTTACTTTGAAATAACAAACTGAAACTCTAATTTTATTTATTAGTGCAGATGTATAACTTTTTTTCGAATTATCTTTAAAACTGCTATCAAACCAAAAAAAAAATAGGATTTATGCATTTTGAATTATTTTCCAGTAACTGTGAGCACAGACAGACAGACAGTCATTAAGAAAATCGTTGTTATAGTTATATATGTATTCTTAATTCGTGAATGTTTTAAACGATAAAATTTCTACTATATATCGTGTATCATCAGCATGTGCTATTACTGTACCAAATAAATATTATTTCATTATTAATTAACATCATTAATTAATTAAGTTCCAAGCTTATGTTTAAAAAGCCGTTTTTGCTAATCATAAAATTTTAGTTCTCTACGAGAAGACATAGATTCAGCAGGAACAAAACTATCAGATTAGTTAATCAGGGAAAAAAGTTACAAACATAAAAAAATATATATTATTCGTTTAGTCTTTTCGGATATTAGTCCGCCTAAACAGATAGACAGACAGACTGACAAAATGAAGAAAAAAACTTAATTATATCAATTAACTATTAACATCGCCCTGACTCGCTTATTTTTATTTCTTTGTGACACCTACATCTTTATTATAAGTACCTATAAATATAGTATACACATAGTCGATTATTCTAAAGGTCAAAAATATTCCTTCAAAATTAATATGAAAATACAGTAATAATATGAAAATACAGTAGTGACCTATATCGTCCTTTGTTTAAAATTTTTTGTATTGGAAGGTTTAAGGAAAAAGTGAATATAATTTCCCCGTGTGTGTGTGTACTCTTATCAACTATGACTAGGTTTCGACTCACTATCAGATGCAAGATGATAGACAAGCACTGTCCGGATCTGAGAATTAAAAAAAAGATACATAATCATACTGTTATTTTATAATTGGTGTTAGTTTTATAAAATATTTAAATCATTGTTTGAACGACGTGTGTACCTATATTTTAGGCAACACGTCACGTGTTGTAGTCTCGGTAGTATCACAGAAGTCATGTACAACTTGTAGAGACTGACGGCTCGTGAATAAATAACATCTCGCTTGGAGACGTCTTGATGTTGAAGCTCCAACAACACGCAAAATATTATTATTGTATATACAGAAGCTGATATGTTCATAATTTATGATTTACAATCACATTAAAGAGTAGAAGCGTTTGAGTGTTTTATCTGTATTTGGATAAGCAGTATTCTCTGTCTGTACGTGTGGATAAAAATGTCTACATAAATATATAGTACACCTTATTGCTCACACATATTAAAATTAAGATAGAACGTTCAAAACCCTATTATTACCATCTACCGTCTACCAACAGGAGGAGAGTAAAGTCCTATCTAGTTGAAATAAAAGAAACGGTCGTTTTGAACCGTGATATTAGAAATGTTTGAGTAGCAGGACGTCACACTATAATCATTCCCTTTATACGGCCTTCCGAGTTGAAACATAAACTACGAGGAGCTCCACAGACGACCATTAGTGAGCAGGGTCGCTTGGAGGGAGGATCGCGTTTTATTGCCGCTATCTTTTTATTTATCTAATTCCTCATTTTCCGAGTCATTCAGAAATAATTTTACGACGAAATATTTTATGTTAAGTATATTTCGCTCTCATTCGACTTTATAATAAAAAAATATCTGGTCCGTGTAACTGTGAGGCCGGCATTTACAATGAATGATACAAAAAGTATAATAGTCGACGAGGAATGACTATCTGTTACAAAGATATTTATTAAAGAAACATGAGCCTAAGAAGGATCCTGTTATAGATGTAAGAACTGCTGTATGAGGACAGAAAAAAGACGCAATTATATTGTGTAATGAAGAAATGATCGACCCTCATCGGACAATAACGTCTCTTGTAAGATGAAAATTGTTATGATAATAATGAACTCTTTCATTTATTTCTATACTAGCTTTCCGCCCGCAGCTTCGCCGCGTGGAGTTCGGTTATATCGCGTTTCCAAGAGAACCTTTCAAAAGTCTGGGATAAAAACTATCCTATGTTCTTTCTCAAGGTCAACTCTATCTCTGTACCGAATTTCATTAAAATCAGTTCAGTGGTTTAGGCGTGAAAGCGTAGCAGACAGACAGACAGACAGACAGACAGAGTTACTTTCGCATTTATAATATTAGTAGGGATTAGTAGCAGATATATTTATTGTCGGTTAAATCTAATCGTTCAAAGTTGAAACCAATGAACCGTCATTATTGTATTGTAGTAACTGAGTTTCAGTCGCCACGTGATCGCCTCGAGACGACTCAAAGACGTAACATCTACAACTGAATTGTTTAAATGTTCCGAACTCAGAGTACAGACACACGTGTGAGAACAGACCCGAACAGTTTCATTGAAAAAGTTTGAGCTTGATTCTTTACGTACGAAAGAGATGTTTTAACGTTAGATAGTTATCGATTATGATGAAACAGAACGACATGATCCACTGGTTGTATATTTTTCGTCTCTTCATATTTACAAGTCTGTTTTGTTTTACATTAAAAATTAAGAGACTATATTTCTTAGAACGTTATAATATTAAAGTAGATCAAACAATGTCTCTGTGACACGAGAACGTTGTAATGATACATAATTGATCCTCGACTTCTTCGAACTGGCACCGCCGCGGCGTGACGCGGACGGCTCCAGGCGAGCTCGTATTCAAATATAAACTATTCGTCTTTGTAATAAGAATGATTTCTCTACGAATAATTATTTCTCGTCGCAATTATATCGAGATGGAATCGTGAAAGAATCCGAACATATTAAATATATTTGAGAGCGGTCTGACGTCAACTTTTATTGAACAATAACACTCAAATAAAATGCACGCGAAGCTTGGGACGCTTTCTGAGAGCCTTAAAGAGAGAATAGAAATATTATGTGTATTTTGTTTTTAATGGAGAATTTCAATATTTTTATCTTATTACGTAATTTAAAACAAATAATGAAGGTTCATTGATCATTGAACCTGTTGAAACTACATATTTAGTAACAAGTATTTCACAGCCGCTGAAGAGATGAAGATTTTTTTATAGTTTGACCGCGCGATCTGTTCGTATTAATTGCTTTCATTTATTTAATATCCGCTGGTCCCTCACTCGACACAGACACTCCTCACTCATGATATCCTGTTCTATACTGTGATAGTTTAAAAAAAGAGAACAATCATCATTATTTTGATATTTTTAATATAGTTTATTACTTTTATACAATAAGAAATAGTATAAAATGTTCAAAACGTAGACATTGACTTAACCAGTATAATAAATCTTATAACATTATTTTATTTCATCAAATTCTGTTTTATATTCAATTCTATTTTCTGTCCAAACATAGTATTGTGTTATTGCATTGTTAAATTTCTAAAACGAAATGAAAATCCACGAGGTTTGAAATGTCTGTGGTCGTATTGTACTGGTTGGTTTGTCAAGTGCTCGTTCAATAGCACTAGTGAAAGAATCAGCGCAAAATAGTACGACGAGAAAGAGGAAGGTCAGGAGGTCAGGAGGCCTGGAGGAAGGAGGAGGAGGAGGAGGAGGAAGGATAGAGGAGTAGGAGGGAGGAGGAAGCGGGAGGCAGGGGGGGCAGAACATGTCTCACATGAGATTAGCAAAGAATAGTTCAAGTGTCGCAAAGAAAAGACTTGCCGTGGCGTATGACTGGCGGCGATAAATACGTCCGAAAAAATATGATAATTATTAAGATAACTAACAAAATTAGAAGTCTTCTCACTAGATGGATGGAGGTTCTGATCAGAGATTTTCTTTAATAATATGTTATGATGAGTCTGTAACGTGTATGAAAATTTAAAATACGAGTACAAATTGTGAAAAACATATATTTGATTATAACTGTACTAGAAATATAAGTACGTAAAGATTTTTTTTATCATACTTTTTTGTTTTGATTATCAGAGGTTCCGTTTTTTATGGTAGCGAGGTGTGGACGGACGAACTTAGACATTAGAAGTGTTAATGTAGACGAGTGATGTAATGTACACAGAGGAGAGAAGAAAGACCCGACAGGCGACGCATTCACTGTACGAGGAAACTTGTCCAATTATAGTTTCATTACCAATGTTACCGACACCTTCTGTTAAAACATACATTCAGTATACATATGACTTATTATACCCCGTATGTGTACATAAACACATGATATATTGTGTCTATAAAAAAACATATTATAAATTATTAATAAAGCATATTAAAAAGATCTTGAAATAATTGAGTGTGTGATGCGTTACGCTCGAATAATTTTCACTGAGGAAGGTGAATATGAAGCGGATAGCAGGAGAATTGATTTCTTGGTAAATTTAGAACCTGGACAAGGCTCGGGGTGAAGTTCGGCCGTGTTCGTGTATCTGGGTGTATGTAAATGTGGCGGTTTGCAGCTAAGAGGAAGCGTTTACATCGACACAGGCGAGCGGAGAGATTATATTTATGAAAATAAACTCTTCAAATGAAGTTGTTACTTCTCTACGTCACGCTCCGAGTACTAAGCACTTATCAAATCTTTTACCTTTGCCGTCAGTGAGTCGGTCGTATATATTCTATACTATCATCCTAGTCCTCTAACATCCCCCGTCGTTGCTCGCGCCTCTCGTTGCCGGTTCCTCCTCTCTGCAGCTCCATATATTTTTCCCCCTAAGCCGCTGCAGTGCTCTCCACCGACACTCTACAGCGGTACATTATGACGCCGCCTGAACAGCTCTTAATGCCGCTACTCTCTTACACACCCATTATTTCCATCAACATGTTCGTGTATTGTGCCCGTAATAAATAGTTCGGATCGATGTCCCTAATGATCGGAGTGAGTTAATGTTGCCGGAGATTTTAAATAACTTTAATTTATTAAGGAATGCAAACACTACTCGACCCACTACCGACTACTGATATTGTTTCATCGTATGTTTGTTGAATGACTTCTATGTCAATCGGTTTCTAACACGAGGCTCATTAAAAGTGAACGTTACAATTAATGTATCACAAATAACAAAAATAGAACAACTTGTTTTAACAATTATAATATGCTGTTTCAATCATGATAATACGAACTTCTCGTAGCGATCGGTCTGAAAACAAAATATGTCAAAGAAACAGACCACGTTTTAGTGGCATTTAAATTTTATTTTTAGTGTTGTTACGTTAATTAAATGGGTTTTTATGGTTCTCAGATCAGTTGTGTTGAGACGCAATAATCATCTCAATTTAAATATATCAACGGCATAATACACGTGATCTTACTATTAAAATTTTGACAAAATAATGGACATACTCGTAAATGAATTTTACAAAATAAGATGAACATTGTTTTGTTATTTCCTAATATAGTATACAACATTGACTCTCAGTCACTGTCCACTGATTTCATAATATTTATTTTGATTTCTATCATCGTTGATATATTAAGGGTTCAATGACCCCTGTAATAACAGTATGTGTGTTTGTGTGTATGTATGTATGTGTGTAGGAGGCAGGTTGTATAAGTGAGATATAAAGCACTCGGTGTATCACGACAACCTGATGGTGGATCTGTTGAGTGAGTCAGTAGATACAGTGATGATGAGGTCGACGAAAACATATTCATTCACGATTTGGTACATAAATAAATATAATAACATTCCAATATTTATAGACACCGTATAGTTAATATTAAGGTATATATAATATAATGTACATATATACACGGTGAGCGTCATGTCCCACGCTAGTTGTCGGAGGATGTCAGTTACAATGATCAGCTTCCTCGACGAGCCGACGATACCTCTGAACACACGAGCAGCGAGACGAGTCTGTACAACCTGACGACTTGTATCATGAATCATATCATTATAATGATACATAATATATATCTTTAGAAATTAATGTTCATACGTTACATAATAAATTTTATTTTATTGTAACATCTGTATTTAAAGTTATAAAATATAAATCAAACGCCAACGATGCGGCGAAATGATGTAACATTAAAGAATGATCGTCCCTCTTTGATACTACAGTTTTTTAAGGCGAGTGGAGTCGAGTATTAACATGATATATGAAGGGAAGTTGTCGATAGATTTACGGTGAAAATGTCGCGAGCTGCTGCGTGAGGTTATACTGTACAGACACATGAAGTCATCACTCTAACTCTCACACCACACACGGTCTTAATAGAACGAGTGAAAGACTTTCTACCTGATAATCTTACCGACGTGTTTATGACGACGGCGATGAGATTGTTTATGAAAAAAACTCTATTTCTGTACAATAGATAAATTAAGATTGAACCGTTAAAAGTAATAGCAGCTTTCAACTAATACAGAGTTCTAAAATAATAATTTAATAAGATTTTTTTTAAACGTCTTTGATTTCCTTTATCGATATTGAAGAAGTTTGCAAATTTGTTTTGATACAATCATGAAACAATCAGTGGAGGATGAGATAATGATAAAATTTAATATTTTTCTTGGTTCATTAACTGTCAAAGCCAACAGTCGGTCAGGCAATAAATATTCATTCACACGTATAAAAAATCCACCCTTCTTTTAACAAAAAGAAAAGATAATCAACACATCTATTTAACTATTATATATTGTTTTGGAACTGAAATGTTATTTATAAAGCTATGGATGTCGTTTGATGGTAATGTTCATAGTAAACATCTGATTGACATATTGTTATTATAATTTGAAATTATAGCTCCAGCAGTAGGATCGAAATAAATATAAATTTATGACGTATTTGCCTTATTAGGAGAGTGTCTATTTAAAACAGGGGTTCCCAACCTTTTTTTAGTTCCGGACCACTTTTATATTATTCTTGTTAGCAGGGACCACTATGTATGTATAATAAAAATAAACTGTAATAATCAAACTGAAACTTTAATTAACAAATCAATAGGATATTACAAAACAAGAAATAATAATATATGTAGGATAAACTTCTGCCATTTTGTATTAATGTGATTTCTGAGCATGCATTTTCTTTACGAGTTCGGCTATCCTAGGACTAATATTGTTACTCAAAACTACACGCAAATCATCACTTACTTTCAAACGATTCCTCGCTTTGTTTTTAATTACCAATAAAGCAGAAAATCCTTGTTCACATAAATAACTTGTTGAAAAAATCATAAAATAGCGCAAGGCCATTTCTCGAAGTTTAACATAAGAAATTGCTTTTTAACACCAAAACGACTCAAGACTCACCGCCCGCTAAATTTAAAATCATTCGCGGACCATATTTTGGCTTCTGCGGACCATTGGTGGTCCACGGACCACTGGTTGGGAACCATTGATTTAAAACAATCACATATAAGTAAAGGGTCGCTGTGAGAAGAATATGTCATCGATCCCTGACATAAGAAGTACTTCTGTTAGTTTTAAAATTAAAATATCTGTATTCTCGTAACGGTAAAGTGTTGTTTGTGTACAACGAGCTCCGTAACTTTGTCAGTGCACTGTTCATTCATCGCACTAACAAAATATCGATTGTGAGTGTGTGTGAGTGTGTGTGGTTGTTGGTGTGACGTCATCACGACGCGGCCCACAGCCTACACCTACTACCGAGAAACATAAAAACGTTCTTTGTGAAGAGACAATAACACTATCCTGGCCTTTTATGGGTCTTTTATGAAAGTATTACAGCAGGGAATTAAGAGAAAATACGATATTATAAGAAATCCATCGGAAATGTATTGTTTATTGTATTCATAATGTTATTTGTTCACTAGTTCTATCTCCTGACTCTTACCAGTTGTCTCAATTGTCAACTATGTCCAAATAATCGATTGAATGACAAAAACGAACACGTTCAAGTTAATTTATATGTTAAAGGTCGTCTTGTAAACAACGAATCAAAATCTGTTTGATGTTTGTAATTTATATTTAACAACAACATGTTTTAATGTGATTCTACAATTAATGGAAACCCATATTGTATGTAATTGTTCTGTAATTATTTGTATTGTCATCGTTATTTAATTCATTATAAATAAAATATCATATTGAAAGTTACTAAAAGTATGTTTCGTGTGTTTATAATTTAAATTTGAACAAATTAACATTTTAATAATGGAGTTATAACTAATTAGTATGAATACTGATTTAAAAGTTACTAAAGTAATATTACATATATGTTATATTCAATGTACATATAAGACACATGTATATTACGTGTCAGAGGAGCGAGGCGGGTCCTGTGGCCGGCGGATCACAAATATTATGCGGACCGTCCTCGAGCTCATGAAAATAGTGAAAACATCTCCCTTTAAATTAAATAACATATAGTGATGTTATGTTGAGCGAACGAAACGGAATTTAATATATGAATACTCTTTAATGTTATGTTCTCAACGAAATTGTAATTTGGTTTTAATTCTTTATTTCTTTCTGAAAATATATTTCTTTATATTAAGCGATATTTATTTTTGATTTTATAGAAGTATATTGTTAGCTTCTACTTAGAAATGAAACAGTAGCTATACCTAACGTTACTGTAACTCACAATTTAAATAAAAAATCGAAAGGATATTTACTTACGAGTGTATGGTCTGTAGACATTTTAAATCGT